CAGTTTGATCTTCAGGTTTGATACTGAGAGCAGGCAGGCAGGTTTTCAGTTGAGACGCTCTTCCAGAGCTTCAGGCTTCAGTCGGGTTCTTCCTAGGAGGCAGAGAGGACAAAAAACTGATTAGATTCTAGTCAGGCTTTCAGGGAGTCAGAGAATCAGGCAGGCTGGTTGGCTCAGGCTTGCTAACCGTAACTGGCTTAACACTCTGGCGCTGAAGAGTAGTCCTGCTGCTGCTTATATGCTGATCTCCCTGATGAGCAAATCAGCCGCAGGTGTGGTAGTCAGCTTCAGCTCCAGGAGACCTAGGGCGCCCTCTGCTGGAGAAAGGTGGACAGATCTCCAGATCCCAACATCTACAAGCCCCTTGTGTGCACTGTTACGCACGGTGGAGGATCTGTCATAATGTGGTGCCTTTTTATTCTAAAACCCTTAGAATTATTGCATTAACAACTTTTTTAAAAAACCAGGAGATTTTGAACCCAAATGTGGTGTCTTTGTTTCATTCAGCAGAATACAAATTAAAAACATATTGATATCAATAAACTAATGGGTAACTAAGCATAAAACCAGCTGTGTTCCAAGGTCAAAATTAAATCCTTCACCACAATGAAGAGAAACAGCATAAGCGGCTCAGATTTAATTAGAAATTAAAAGCTAGATTTTTTTTTATATGTTTAATGCTTTTTTTATACACCTTCACAAGTGGAGCCAATAAATATAAGGGAACCTACTGGCAGATGGGACTTTCTGCAGATATAAATCTTTAAATTTCCTGTCAGGTGGAGACAATAGGTGATGCCTACATGGTGGCGTCCGGTCTGCCAAGGAGGAACGGGAACATGCATGCGGTGGACATCTGCCGCATGGCGTTGGACATCCTATCCTTCATGGGCACCTTCCAGCTCAGACACCTGCCCGGCATCCCTGTGTGGATACGGATCGGCGTGCACTCAGGTAAACAAGACATCCCTGCTCACATCTCTGCAGCTTAACTTTCACAAAGATGAGGTCCTGCTCACAGCTTTAAGGGTTTCCTGAATATAGTTTAGTTTCAACTGTTGGATCCTTGTCTCCAGGTCCCTGTGCAGCAGGTGTTGTGGGGATAAAGATGCCCAGATATTGTTTATTTGGTGACACAGTGAACACAGCGTCTCGGATGGAGTCTTCAGGACATCGTGAGCAGAGCACACACATTCACTCTGACAGGCAGTTAATGAGACGTTGAGTCAAACGGACATTTCCTGCTGCTACTCCCTCTGTTCATGTTACTCCACATTAGTCTCACTACAACATGCTCTATTGAAGGTACTGAAGCATTCAGGGAAGCAGGTTAGGCTCATTTCCCCCAATGTCTGTTTGGTTCTCATCCTCCAGCCCTGCGGATCCACGTCAGTGAGCCCACAATACACATCCTGCAGAGGACAGAGTGCAAGTTTGAGTACGAGCTCAGAGGAGAAACGTACCTAAAGGTAAGTATTAGCCTCTTTATTCCATGTAATGAAGCAGTCGGTTCGGCTTCTGATGAGCTTTTGGTCAATTTCCTCAGGGTAAAGGTACAGAGATGACTTACTGGTTGACAGGAGAAACTGGGAAAGACTACGACCTTCCTACTCCGCCTACAACGTAAGAGAAATGATCTCAGATTACAAAAGGTTGACAAGCCTTTGTGAAAATGCTGGTTTTAGAAGCATGCTTTGGCAGGTTTTGGCAAGAATTTGACTTGTTTGATTTATTAAATACTGTGTGGAAGGTAAGTCTGAAGCATTTATGTCCAGGATGTGTGGGGTCTGCAGAGACGTCAGATCCCCTTTTCCTGACGTCAGAAGTCCTGGATGTGTTGAAATCAGCCCTGACTGTTGTAGTTTCAACCCTTCATTTTTTGTAGATAAGCCGACCCAAACAGTAATGGACAGACTGAATAACGGCAGCTTAGAAAGTGACCACCAGCTAATGGATGAGGTTGTTCTTTCCGAGATGCTGCAGGAAGTAATCTCTGCAGGGCTTTCCTCCAAATGAAAACACAATATTCTGCTAAAAACCTTTCTACAAACAACAACAAGCAATCTTTTGTATTTACTCATGTAATATACACTCACCGGCCACTTTATTAGGTACACCTGTCCAACTGCTCGTTAACACTTAATTTCTAAGCAGCCAATCACATGGCGGCAACTCAG